TTAATTAATTTTTCAATTTGTAGATAGTTTAGAATGAAATACGCTTGTGACTTTTTTCAAATTGTGGCTTGTAAAGTCAATTTAATGTTTTGTGAAAAGCATGAACCAAAAAAGGAAATATTGGAGTGCACTGCATGCACAAAATGAGGGTAAGATTTTATGAAATTTTGTTTTTGTTTACATACAGTACAATAAATACAATAGAAGATTCAATGAGACTTAAATTTAACATGTTTCCAAGTTCATATGCTAGACAATTCATATTATGTCTATTTATTTTGACTCTCCATGTCTGATTCATTTCTCACTTGAAGAATAATCGCATCATCATTTTCAGGAAGAGTACATACATAGTACTTTTTTCTGAGACTTGCCTACCTCAGAATAGGTGTTTTTCCCTTAACAATGAAAATATAACTTAAGAATAAAATGATTTGATCATAACCTTTTCCTTCGTAAATTCTGTGTTATTTAATCCATTGTCTTCTGGGATGGGCCCTGTAGAGAATGTAAGGGCTTTTATATACAGAGTTTTTATAACTTTTTGTAAAAAAAAAAAAAAAAAAAAATCAGTCCACAAATAATAGAATTATCCCACTTTGTAGCAATACTTTTAATTACAGTATTTTTTCAAGTATCTAGGAGTGAGTCTCTTTTCCTTCAGTATGCTTACCCTTTTGTTTTACACATTTATGTCTTTATTTCAAATTCTGTTTGTAATTATTGTAACTAGTACAGTATTACACTCAAAGCAGTACCAACTATCTTTCAATCTTTCCTGTTACTCCTCACAACCATCGGTTGTAACTTAGCATTAAAATGTTCAGTTAAATTCTCTCATGCCCAATGCAGCTTATACACAATTATAGTGAAAATGTGGAATGTTAGATGCTATTCCCAAAGAAGTGTTGGCACAATAAAAGGCCAGTGAGTTCTGGAGTGAACCCTAAGGTAAGCTTTCAGAATGATAGACCACGGTGGAATTTTCATAAACTAGTGTTCTGGCTCTGTCCTTGACTTAGTTGTATGTGATTTTTCCACGTCACTGACTTCAGCTCACATCACTCCCTCCCCTCACTGCATTCTTGTCCTGGACATTTCTCTATTCCCTGAGTAAACTTAGTTGATTTTACTTTGAGAGGTTTGACCAGGCTGTAGTTTTCACTACCTGGGACACTTCCTCTCAGATCATGCCTTGGTGGTTTCTTGTCATTCAAGCATTTTTTAAATGTTATCTTCTCAGAGCTGCCTTCCTGGATCACTCCTTCCTTGTCAAACCTTTTATATTAGTCTACAGGACTTTCAAAGAATCTATAATTATCTCACATTTTCTTGTTTCTGAATGTTCATTATTTGTTTCTCCTTAGACAAAAAAAGACCTTGTCCATTTCATTTTTGAAATTGTAGCATACCCCAATTCATGATTTCCTTGGTATGCCTTATTACTGAGAGATTCTAAAAGTAAAATTACTTAGTCTTAATCTTTGAAAATATGTACACATATTTTTTTATAGCTAAACATTCTTAATTCTAAGGGTAAATAATCAAAGCTTATATCTTTTCTCAGTTAATATATTTGCATTCTGTAATTTATTTTGCATAGAAACTATCCCTAAATTATATTTAATTAATATTTAACTGAATACATTTTAGAGAGGACCAATACCTGGGTCATTTATTTCAAAGGCATATGTGTCTCTGTTGCAAAATTCTATTTTAAGGTTTTGACATGCATGCTAGCAATTCAGCAGACAGTATACCATGTCTATTACTCCAGGCTGCATATGATAAATTTCAAGGAAAAACATATTCTGAATTTAAAAATATATGTTTTCTTTGCCAAAAATACAGGGGACCTAATATATTACTCTGAACATGTCTTGCTTCCAAAAACTTTAAGGCAATATAGTTCAAAATTAGAATAATCAGGTCTTCTTAGGTACTCAAAACCACCCAAACATTTTTTTTTTTTTTGGCCAGCAAATCATAATCAGTCACTTTCAGAATCAATACATGTGAAGGACCATCTCCAAACAACACATACACATCTGCAGAAATGCATCCATTTCATCAGGTTCAGGAACTCCACAAGTTTATAGACAAACTCAGTCAAGAGCTTCTGCTTTGAAAAAATTTTGTTATTTATCATCAAATGTTTTAGTGTTCAATATTTCACTAGTCTTAAACAAAGAAATAAGATATTCAATTTAAATTCAGCTAATTGTCTTTTCAACTTCTGATGATTCTGTCTTATGAAAGACATTATAGTGGTGGTTGGTGGTTATGTGCTGTGGAGTCAGTCGTGACTCATAGCGACCCTGAGTAGGGTTTCTGAGGCTGTAAATCTTAATGGAACAGAATGTCTCATCTTTCTCCCTGGTAGCTGATGGGAGATTTGAACTGTTGACCTTGCTGTTAGCAGCCCATCTCATAACGTACTATGCTACCAGGACTCCTTATGAGCATTACATAACCTTGGAAATCAAGGTTGAGAAAGCAGATAACTTTTTTTTTCTCAATCTTTATTAGTTTCTATATTCATTTTTTTACATACAAAGCTATAGTCCCAGAGGGATGCAGTGTAATGTGAAACTGGAAGACCTCCTTAGTATGTTAGTTTCTCTTCCAACATTTAACTTTTTGAGTTCAGAGAAAATAAACAGTGTGCCGTGTTCTTTCCAAAAGAGGGCAGTGTGTTAGACACTTGGTAGCACAGAGACAAAATCTTCATGAAAGTTGGACACTAACCCAATGAGACAGGGAGACCTCTTCCTATACTAGCATATGCCCCGTCATTATAGAACTCAGACCTCCTAGCTGATACCGACACAATTGTGTCCCCTTTAGAAATGACTTAGGACTGAATTTTAAATAAATTAATTACATGGTAAAATTTCCAAATTTGACTGAAGTTGAATCAGTATACTAATTTATGTTTTAATATATGCAATCTTTAAAGTCCACATGGACTTAAATGAATCATATTTATCTAATTTTTTTCTATATACCATAAATAACAAACTTTGATAGAAAATAATTTTCTAGCTTAATAAAATAGCACAATTAAAACTTTTATTTAATTTTTCTTTAGACTGAAATAATAAGCCAAACTAATCAGGAAAAGTGTCAATAGAAGATTTTGCATGAAACATTGTTTCTCAGAAAATAAAGCCAAGAGCACATTGCTCTTAGTTGAACTGCAGGAGGTCAAACCTATTTATCTTTGAAAAGCAGTAGCATTCTTTGCTTTCAAGAGTCAGTTCTGGGCCATAGGGTAGAAGCTAATGGTCACAGAGATGATGTTCTGGCTTTATATCGAAATAAATAAATAAAAGAATCTCCCCTGGAAGAAAGACTTAGGTCATTGCTATCTCAACCCATTACTACCCTATGATGTATACTGGTTGTTGTTGTTAAGTGCCATCAAGTCAATTCCAACATATAGTGACCATGTATAGGGTTTCCAAGGAGCAGCTGGTGGATTTGGACCACCGACCTTTCAGTTAACAGTCCAGTGCTTATCCTACAGTATCACACCAGGACTTTATTCCATGGTGTCATGGAACACATTAATAGTTCTGCCCCTCTTTTGTTATTTTTTATTTTTTAGCTAGAGTAGAAAACATACTAAATAAAAACAATGTAAATTATCATAGACCAAAGATAAGAATGGAATATTTAAAATTATAATTCACTTAACTAGTGAAAACTGAAGACATTATCTTCTTTAGTGATTTGCAGTCATCTTTTGCATATTATATTTAGCCAGCAACTGGATTTTAATTTTTCATTAGGAGACATTAAAATGTAATTAGCAGCAAATAATAGAGTGACAAAGTTATAAAAATTCATAAAGGTCAAAGGAAGCAGTAATTTTTAGCCATAGCAAGAAGTGGAACCATCGTGAGAGCTCATCTCCTGCTTCACGCTCATCTCCAAGGCAAAAATTCTAGAACAAGATTCTTTTCTGGCAATATGAAGAAGAATACAGGAGTAGGTGTCCAAACCACAGCAAACATTCTTCAGAGCCAAAAGACCCTCAAACTTTAATAAACATCATATATGAAAGAAACATAGCAAATTCCAATACAACATACACATAATAAAATTAATTCATTTATCAGAGGTCAATACAACGCTCAATGTGCATTTTCCAGAAAGTAGCAGAAGTAAAAGAGACCGTCTGTGGCTGTCAAGCCTGTGGAAGTCCAACAATGCATCGAAAATTCATACAATATGTGAATTATAAATGAAAAACAAATGCGTTATTAAAAAAGTAGGTTGATGGCCCGACATATAGATATTCATATGTATGTTTGTGTGTATATTATATATATGATGATAAAAATCAGCTTGCATTAGGGTCATAATATATCTGCTTTGAAGTGATTTCACACATACTATAAGCCATTTACAGAAATGGTTTGCATATACAGGAATTGTGAAATGAATTTAAAATACAATGAAATACAGACCGCTCAAAAATTATTTATAGAAACCTCCCAGAATTAACAGGGATTGGCCATAATCAGCACTTGCCACCACTGAACAAGAAACGTGCCAAAAAAAAAAAAAAAAAGAATTTTTTAAAGAAGAAAGGGACAATTAAAAAAATTATTTTGGTATTCTGTATTTAAAATAATGTTCTCTTTGTTGACTTGCTTTGTTGATAATTTTGTTCTTGCCCCAACACAGGGTTTAGTTTGATCATAGTTTGTATTCTGTATCCTTTCCGTGTCTGCTTCCTGGAGAGAAAGGGTCTTTGAGTGAGTACAAATCAGTGTTTCCATACTAACTATTGTCTAGACTGATGACGTTCAGGCCAATCCCTGAGCAGTCAGTGAGATGTTGCCGAAAGAAAGAAAAAAGGACCAAAAAAAAAAAAAAAAAAATTCTTGCTGTTCAAAAATGTCCTATCTCTTCGCACTATTTCTCTTGAAATAAAAAATCTGTGATTTGACAAAGAAAATTTCAACAAAACGTGTGATAGCCTCTTCATTTATGCTTCCCGAAGCAGACGCTCCTTGGGTAGGTAATTAGAGTAGAGTGGGTGCAGAGTGGTGCTTGGAGTTTAGGGTCAACTTTGCTGTCCGCTCCGTAGATTTTACAGGCGATTTGCTCTTTGCTTTAAGAAGAGAAAGTGATAGTGGAAAAAAGTCAGCACTTTAGATTAAAGCAAAGCACCCTTCACAAAGCCACAAACAAGAAGCAGGACAGAAAGTCCATGGCTTGTAGCTATCCTCGCACCTGCGGAAGAAGTTATAAGATATTCGCTCATCTTGAAGATTTCCAATGCTCCTTATTAGGCTGTTTTAAATACATACATATATATATTTAATTAGCTCGCCAGCTTGGCTCTGGTGCTCATGAATGTCTTGGCATGCACTGCAAATAACAACACATACAGAGTATTTCAGTCCCAGAAGTTGGTCTTGTTTGTTTTCACACAATGCCGTCCCAAGGTTGGGAACACCTAGAGGAACAGATCCAAATACTTTTCCCCTCAAGTGATTCCTTGAGAATCATTCCCTATCACCATTTGATTGTTCCCATATTGGTGCCTAAAATCACATCCCCCCCTGTTCTAATAGGGCATAATGATAAAAACCACAGGAGATAAATCAAAAATTGACGGTGGGTGCATTTGGACATTGACTTTCAGAGTCAGGTTTATCTTTTTTCTATCCTTGAAATCTGAAGACAAATCAATCCTACAAGAATAGACATTTAGAAAGTGCTACAAGACTAAGGAAGGGAGAGAACTGAGTTCCTGCCCACCCCACCCCCATATATATTGTTCAATAACCTCATAACTAAAAATGTGATATTAGCTACCTATATTAGTTTTTAAAAAATTGATGAAAATGTGGTAAGGCTCAAAACATTTCTTTCCTTTTTTTAACTGGAAGGCTGGAGGGTTTGAAGAGGGAAAAAGTTGGGGATCTTGAATCTTTTACATATTTCAACGCAATCCATGTTCAGGTCCGTGCTAGCAATAATAAAATTTGAAGCAAAAACACATTATAGAAAAAAAAATGGGGAATTTAAAATGGCCATTTAAGACTTAGGTTACTGTTTTCCTGCCAAGTGACTTTAGTATCATTAACATTATTTTGCCTTTGTTAACCGATCTAGAAATGGAACATAAAAACCTGACAGCAATCTAGTGATTCAAGGCCCAGAAGGTTGGGTCTCAGCGGAGCCTTCCTTCATTTAAACTGGATGACAGGGTTCAAAAACGCCAAACTTATAGCCTGGTTCTTAGGTAACTCTAAGTACAAATATCAGGCAAGGAAAATATGTATAATTTATGTGGAACCATTAGCATTAGAACTTTCCAAAATTAAAATGTATTCTTGTAATATTTGAAGAGAGTTACTTCAACAACGGATGTTTAATATGAAAAAGAAAAAGATAAAGCGAATGATTACATAGCTCCCTAAATAGTCAATGGTACTAGATTTGATATAAAATGCCCAGTTTTGAATAAAAGCCTAAAAAATGCTAGAAGAAATAAAACTAGATAAAATCATTTATTCTTTGAAAATGATCTAGTGAAGTAGTGGTTTTCTTTCCAACACGGGTGTTGCAATTGGCCCAAATTTGCTGAAATTGCACAGTGTAATATGTTCCTTCTTTCTCAATTATTCAACCATCATAAAAAAGTCTGACTCCATCATCCCTGTAAGATATTTCATGTTTGACCCAACATATTATATTCAGCATGTGCAAGTTAAAGAAAAGTGTTCTAATTAGAAAGAAACCTGATTATATACTACTGTAAAGTAAACCAAACATTTTAAGGCTAATAACATTTTGAAAGGTCATCAAGTACCATTGCAATATGGTACTTTTTTTTTTTTCTAGGTTGTAATCAATCATCCATTCTAGATACATGAATTTTATATCGTATTTTTAATTAAATAAAATTTAGTTCTTTCAGACATGTTATAGATGAAAGTGTGTTGTTTTTTTATATAGCAAATAAAATAAATCTGTTTTTCATCCTATTACTGATTTATTTTTGCTTTTTTATGTTTTATTTATATATTATATAATATGTATATATGATACATATTGAGTGAGAGTAAATTTTATGTATTGACATTTTGAGTATTATGATTATATAACCCCCAAGTCCTTTAGATAGTGAAATCTAAGACTACCTCTGTATATAGGGATTTGTCTAAATACTTATTTTAGCCATTTCTGTTCAGGTTTATATTTTTCCATCTGCATTATTTATGATAGTGCAATATTTACAGACTTTACAGTGATTTCAGCTGTACTATACTGTTTCTTAAACATGCTATACTATAGAAACTACCTTTTTTGATAAAGGGGGAACTTTGGCCACTTGTCATTCTCTAGTCTCATTTTTACATTTAGAGACATTTTACTTTTGTGAGATAAGGTCAAAATTGCAACCAGAAGCCCCAAGAGGTCTAATTTCCTCTGCTTCCTCTTGCTTTTGAAGTCCCAAGTAATATATTTCTTTCTTCTACATTTTCTAAATGAACACAATAACTGTTCATGTATTATCATTATTATATTTTTCACACTAGTATGCAAGACACTGTGTTGGAATAAGAACACTTCTTTATTTTTATATTTGCTTTCTGCTTTTTTTGTGCCTATTATACCTGTAAGGATATTTACGCGACTTTTTCCTTTAAATGACCTGCGTTTCAATCTCAACAGTTAATTATCATCTCTCGCTCTCCTTTGACCTTCAGCACTGTTTTGCTTTTGTTTCCCTATAGCCCAAGTAGACTTGTAATTAATTATATTCATATCTTGCTCCGATCTCTCTGATTAAACTGTAAACTCATTAATGACAAGGTATAAAATTTGAGTATGTTTTTGATTCTCAATGTCTTGAAAGTTTTTATACTTTGCCCCCCAAATAAATTACACGTGAAGCAGAAAAGGAGATGCTCTTATCTCAATTATGTGAAAGAAATGACAGGTAGAAAGCTTAGATGAAAAGTAGCCAAATAGAACCTAGAGATCTCTTATCTCTGACTCCTGATCCATTTCACAACACCCATCTACTTCTACTTAATGATGATGCCTTTCATTTGTTTTTATGCTTAGAGATCTTCAGAGTGCTCTCTCATGTGTAATTCCCCATGTCTTTGTAAGAAGACAAGATATTAGCAGGGAAGATACTTTCTCCATTTTGCAAATGGAAAAGCCTAGAAAGTCTTAGAAGTCTAAATAGTGCAGAAATTTTGCTTCCATTTCTCATCCTATTTTCCTACCTTGTGTTCTATCTCATGCTAGTGTTCGTAGCTCCTTCTCTTAGATGAAGACAAACAATCATTTCTCAAGAGAGTATCTTTGACAACTAAGTTTGCCAGACAAATGAGAAACAGACAAAAAAAAAAAAAAAACAAGTATATTATCTCACTATAATTATTATTTCATCAAATAGCACAAAATATCATCTACTCCTTTAAACAAAATTAAGTGGAAAAAACAAAACAAAACAAAAAAACAGAAATAGTCCTTGAGAACTTATAATCCTCAGCAAACAAACCAAGGATGATATGCAGTTTGTATCTGAGGTTTATCTCTTGTGGTAACAGCTATACTGTCCTCTGTCTCCTCAGAGGAAGTTACTGCATGGAGAGGTAAGTTCCCTATGTCACTGTTCTCATTCTACTGAAAGGGAGCTCAGCTTCCAGCCAGGAAAGTTAGCAGCAATAGTCAGCTCCGTACCTCCTTCCTGCTCCTTGCCCCTCTTATCACACAGCTGCCAAATGGAAGGACTTAGCTCCTCTTCATAGTTTCCAACAAGTCCAGCTGTACTTGTGGCAACCCACGTGTGTGAGTAGAACTGTGTTCTAAAGGGTTTTCAATGGCTGGCTTTCCAGAAGTAGATTGCCAGGACTTTCTTCTGAACTACCTCTGGGTAGACTAAATCCTTCAGCCTATTGGTTTGAAGCCAAGTGAGTTAACACTTTGGACCACCAAGGGACTCCTTCAACCACATTTTTATAGCTTCCCTGTATCTACACTCCCTGGCCTGAAGGACACTGGGCAGATTTAATAATATTGCATCCTTCTTCTTGCTAATGTGTTGGGCATCTTTGATGTGCCACACAACGGTGCATTAGAAATTTAGTATACATTGTTCCAGTTAATCCAGTCAACAACAGCTATAGTGAATACAATGATCCCTTTTACAGATCAGGAAATTAACTCATTGTCATGAAACAACTCTGTCAATTACACAGGTAATAGGTGGTAACACACAGAAGTGAAGAAACAGCTATCAGTCAAGTAAACACTAATATGGATCTGTTTCTTTCTGAAACCCCCAATTTCTCCTCATCTGTTAAAGAAATTTTGTTGTTAAGTGTTGTCAAGTCGGTTCTGACTCATAGTGACCCTGTATAGGGTTTCTGAGGAGTGGCTGGTGGGTTTGAACTGTCAATTTTGTGGTTCAAACTGACCTTGTGATCCAGCGCATTATCCTACAGCACCACACCAGGACTCCTAAAGCAATATATGAAGTAATTATTTCAGTATATATTGATCTTTCCAGGGACAATGCATGGATATAAAATAGTTAAGAGAAATAAATATTGAAGACATTTTTTTTTAACTCTAAACTTATAAATACTTCATATGAAAACATGAGCACCTTAGTTTCCCAAATAATAATAAATTGCACCTGTTGTCAAAAAGGACCAGTCCCTGGAGAAGGACATCATGCTTGGTAAAGTGGAAGATCAGCCCAAAAGAAGAAGAGTCTCAGTGAGGTGGACTGACCCATTGGCAGTAACAATGGGCTCAGGCAGAACAATTGTGAGGATGGCACAAAACCGGGCAGCAATTGGTTTTGTTGTACAAAGCACTTATGTGAGTTCAAACTGACTTGATGGCACCTGACAACAACCACAATATTCACTATTCAGGGTATCTAAGGTCATCTTCAGGCATGATTTCCCATGATGTCCATAGGAACTCAAAAGGAACAAGAAAATGATTTGTCCCCCTGCCTGGCTCTGTGGTCTGACTCCATAATCTTTCTGTCTGATGACATTATCTTCATTTTTTGAAACTGAATATTTGTGATGCTTTCCATATGGACAGGGGACACTGGTGGTTTAGTGATAGACTTCTTGCCTTCCATAAGGGATACTTGGGTTTGATTCATAGCCAATAAAGTTCATGAATAGCAAACATCCTTAGCAGTGAAGGACTGTTTGTTGCTATGTTACTAGTGTGGCATTGAG